TTTTTCCCCCTTTCACTAAAAAAAGGAGTAGCATAAAAGCTAGTCAAGTGTTTCTGTTCATAGTTTGAGAATTCAATTTTAAATGCTTTTAAAATACTAGTTGTTGTTTTTTAATTAGAGTATGAAGTTGTTAAAAATACCTAAGTGGAAATGTGTATTAAAACTTAATAATTTATACTTGAGGCAAATGTTGATAGATGTTAAATAGACTCAGTATTAAATTAGAGAGACACAAATCTCCAGATAGCTGGTTTGAAAATTGTAGAATCTTTATACTGACTATTTAAGATCATAAGTTTAACACTAGACAAAAACAAACAAAACGAAAACACACTTCTCCACTGTTTGGGAACCATGAATTACTCTACAAATAACAAAGTGCTCATCTGACTTTTTAAAAATTAAGTGTAAAAGATTTGAAACAGGAATTTTGGGGGGTGAAAAAGACAGGTTTTAGGAAATTTTAGAAATCAAGAGGACCAGCAGAAGGTATATTTCCATAGAATCGGGCAGCTGAAAAGCTGCAACGGATACATTTCCATAGAATGAGGGAGCTGGGAACAGCAAAAGGTCCATATTTACAAAATAAAGAGAAGGAAGCCCTTCATCCAGAAGGAGAAGGAGAAAGCCCAAAGGGAATAGGAAAAGTATAAGGAAGGAGTGGGGAGAACCTCACATGTGAGGTTGGACCTTTGAACCCAGGAGTTACTATAGTAACCAGTCTAAGTGAATAGTGACCAATCAGAGGGGATATCAAGGCACCAGGCTCTGCAGCCTTTATAAGCCACAGGGAAAAGGAACTCAGTGGGACCCATTCCCCCTCCCCACATGGGAGTCCATTCTGTAGGACTCTTTCACTCTCCCTACGTGAGAGTCTGTACTTGTTCTTTAATAAATTTCCACCTTTGCTATACCATCTTCTGCCCATGGATTCATTCTTTGACTCTGGTGGACAAAGAATCCGGGTTCCAGTCCAAAAATTCTGTTTTAGATTGATATTTGCTCAATCCCAATAACATGAAATATATCTGGAAAGCTGAAAGACTTCTAGGGCAAATAATTTCTAATTAATGTCCAAAAATAAAAGTTTATATTTTTTATAAAGTTTACTATGCACTGTTGTGGATATTTATTGATTTGTTTATTCCTTTAATTGGCACATTTTTTATTACATACCTATCACTCTAGAGGGGCTGAGAGGTGTCATGGAGGAAAAATAAAACCTGTTTGTTTGCTTTTATGTTGAGCTCTAAGAGACAGGTTAAGAAGCATCAATAGAAAAGTCCCTTATGGAACCTCAATCCTTACCCATTTGTGGACATTCCCTTACACTGGGGTGCTGATGTCCCACTTTGGTTTCTTTGATTTTAATACTGAGCATGTTGCAATCAGATTATTCTTCCCAAACTTACATATCATTCAATTTTCCTTTTTTACTTTTTACAGATCTTTTGCCAAATATACATTGTTAACTCTGGGTTTGACTGAATTGATCTGTGGTGGAAAATTTTATCTGGTGATTTGTGATATTTAGAGGTATAGAGGTCAAACACTTAGAATCCAACAGTATTATTAACACCCTCACAGAGCCTCATGATAGGGGTGCAGAAACAGCCTATGTTCCTTGTGCCAGTCTCTGTGGGAACCATAAATTGCACCTTTGGAGAAAATCTTCATTTCAGTTGGGCACTGGTTTCCTATACTTAGATGTGTTAAATATTAAAGATGTGGAATACCCAAAAGATCTGACATGTATATTAATAAACTTAGCAACCCACTATGATATAGCACAGCAGGCACTGCTATTTTCTTGTTACAATATGTGAAATGGTTCCCAAAGAGGTTAAAGAATATATTCAAAATAAAAACTACAGTAAACTTAAGTCTTCACAATGACTACTTACCATAGCAAACTTCAACCTGACCAAGAATCTTTCAAGAAAATGTTATCTAATTTGGCATCTTATAGACAGACCCAAGATAGAACTAATAATCATAAGTTTGATAAGATCTCACATTGCAGCATAAGTGTTCATAATAGTGTTTTAAAACCACAATTGCGTAGGCAGCTTAAAATGACTTCACTTCCATGTGTTATACTTAGGCAAAAATCAAGCTCTAAGTAATTGTTATGTTTTCAAAAGTAAGATATGTCTCAATGGTATGCAAGGGAAGTTTATTGATAAGATTTAAACTTATAGCTATATAGTCTTTGAGAATGCTTTTTAAAGATATGCTTTTATCTCACTTACAATTGAAATATTTGAATGGATTGAAAATTTTAAATGTTCCTTTTTCAATAATTTAAACACAATGGACCCAGAATTATGCAGTTATTTTCTTATATCAATTCCTTAAAAAATAGTATTATTTAAGTAATATGTTTTTAATTCATTTTAATTTTTACAAAGAACAATCTTAAAACTATAAGCATCACTAAATACTTTATGCTTGCCTGTGGGCTATTTTGTATTTTCTTGACAAAAATATATGAATAAATTTTTACTTTCTACTTACACACATGCAAAAAAGAAGTTTGGAAAGTATCTTTTTTTTTTAATTGAATTTTAACCCTGATATTTTTAAGCAATTTTAGAGAATGATATTTTTAATTGGCTACTCTTTATTTTTATCTTTAGGATAAAAATAAATAGTAAGCCGATTTGGCTGATTTGTGAACTATTTTAAGGTAATGATTTAAAATGTAGATACTGTGTTTCAGCTTATAAATTGTGTCAGATAATAATATATTTCTATATGTATACCTTTTGAATAATGATATATTCAATGACTTTGGAAAAACTAGCTTCATATAAATGGAGTCAGGTCATTAGAATACCTTGAACTTTATATTATCAAACTGGGTTCATTAACGTGCTTTTTTACCCTACAAAGCTACTCCTCATTCTATCTTTCCTATTTTTGTGAATGGTTCCAACTCTCTTCTGCTTGTGTAGCCAGGGATACATCTAAAACATACCCCTCAACCTTAAAGGCTACCTGCGATCAGTGTGTCTTTATCTAAGTCTTTGTGGAATCTGTCCCTCTCTCCCCACCCAAATACTCCTACCCTTGTACAGACATTTTGAGTCTATTTCCTATATTATCCTGGCTCTCCTGCCTTTGATGTCTCCTTAACATCCCTCATTCAGATTGTTGCCAGAAATTTTTCACTGAATCACTGTCAATTTAAAAAAAAAGGAATTTACCAAAAGGAAACAAATTATCAACAGAATAAAATCCAAACTCACTCTCTCTCTCTCTCTCTCTCTCTCTCTCTCTCTCTCTCTCTCTCTCGTTATTATTTATTTATTTATTTATTGGCATTTAGAGCATTTAAATCACCTTTCAGACCCTCTGAATAGATAACTGGTAACTTCTCATTTTTGCAGTACTCTCCTGAGGGTGTACTATGGAAGGAACATAGGAGGGTGACTGAGAGCACAGATTCAGAGGCAAAATAGCCTGAGTTTGAATTAAAGCCAGTCCTTTAGGTTAACTGTGTGACCCTGGGCAAGTCACAGCACACATCTTTTCCTCATTTCCCTCATCTGTTGTGGTTACGGTCTCAGGTGCTTTTTGCAGGTATTAAATTAAGTTAGAAAAATACAGTGGATGGTCAGGAAAATATATCTATACATAAGTATTTATCTCATTGTAACTTCTGTCATTGTGACTAGTTTTAGATGCTGCCTTAGTAGTTTTTTTAAAATATATTTTTATTGATTTCAGAGAGGAAGGCAGAGGGAGAGAGCGATAGAACATTAATAATGAGAGAGAATCACAGATTGGCTGCCTCCTGGGGATCCAGCAACCCAGCATGTGCCCTTGACTGGAATCGTACCCAGGACCTATCAGTCCACAGGCTGACATTCTATCCGCTGAGTCAAACTGGCCAGAGTTGTTGCTTTAGTAGTTTTATTACCTTTGTGGAGTCCAAGGGTCATTCTTGTTCATCTTTCCCAGGGTATTCCCTATACAAAGTAGATTCTCAGTAGATGACAAAGCTGTGCTGAATTCTTTAAAGATAAAATGACTTTATTGATAGTACAAACATCAATCATTTCTTTTATTTAAATAAACTTTATTGAGGTATAATCTACTTACAATAAATGCACCAAGTTTAAGAGTGGAGTTCAGTGAATTCTGATAAATGCATGCATTCCTGTAACCTCCATTCCATTCAAGATGTAGAATATTTTCACCACCCCCAAATTTTCCTTTGTGCCTCTCTGCAATCAGTCCCCACTTTCTACCCTACCTGAGAGAACCACTGGTATGCTTTCCATCATTATAGACTGGCCATACCTGCCAGTTGTTTTTCATTTTTAAGCTAGACTTCTTTCCATGTTTCAACCTGAATCATCCGTTTCTATATAATGTATCGTAGCAGGCAAAAGGAAGACTATGTTTTACCAGATCTTATGGGCGTGGGGGAGAGGAATGTTTCAACCTGAATCATCCGTTTCTATATAATACATCGTAGCAGGCAAAAGGAAGACTATATATGTTGTACCAGATCTTATGGGCGTGGGGGGGAGGGTATGGGTAACTTTTAATTGAAAATAGAAACCATCCTTTTGTCATTTCAATGCCATTTAATTCTTGAAACTTCGCTTTTTTGATTGCTTGTTTTTACTCAGTCATTTTCAGGCACAATCGTAAGCTCTGGCATGCTAGAGAATATCCTTATTTTACACTCTCAGCTGCAACAAAGTGAGGGCTGAATACTGGCAATGAATGCTCCAATATTTGGAGTCAGGGGTCCTGACTACTTTTTTGGCCCATGGTTTTTATGGAACCTTATCAGTGGGTAAAAGCACACCACATCCTGAAATGTAGGCTGTAGGAGGGACCCCTATACCTGTCCAGCTCTGGACGCTGCCTCTGGCGGGGCCCCGCCTTG